AAATAAAAGCATTCACGGTGCTTCTCGATCGCGCTGCGCGAATGCTCCGGGACCCTGCTCCCGCGGCTTCCGGTCCCCACCCTCCCTCTCCCATCTTCCCACCCTGGCGGGCCGGCCGGGCCAGTGCCGAGAAGCAATCATAGGCTTGGTGAATGGATGAGCGAATGTACAAATGACAGCTGAGCCTGGGGAGCCCACAGCCAGCTGGCCTGGCCTGGCCTGGCCTGGCCTGGGCAGGGCTCCTGGAGATGAGGTTGGCTCTTTGTCTCTGCAGTCTTTGAGGAGCCCGAGGACCCCAGCAGCCGCTCCTTCTTCTCCGAGATCATCTCCTCGGTGTCGGATGTGAAGTTCAGCCACAGCGGCCGCTACATGCTCACGCGGGACTACCTCACGGTCAAGGTCTGGGACCTGAACATGGAGGCAAGGCCCATAGAGACCTACCAGGTGGGTCCGCGGAGAACCCGCGAGGGGCTCTGCCCAGCTTCCCAGAGAGCCAGAGCACGGGAAGGGGGCACTTCGGGGCAGGAGTTCAGGGTGCTGTGTGGGTCTAAGCACTGCCATCTCGGGGGAGCACCCACCAACAGCAGCAGCAGCAGGGACGCAGGCGCACCCACGTCTCCGGGTCCCCAGCGCCGGTTCTTCCCCAGGACACAGGCCAGCCCGGACATGTGGGAAGCACTATTCTTTATTCTACTGTGGTCCTTCCAGACAGGGTGGGGCAGAAAACAAGACTTGCATGGTGTTGACATGCAAGGAGGCTCGAGGGGGTCGAGTGGGGGCATCACCTATAATCCCAGCACTCTGGGAGGCTGAGGCAGGAGGATGTAAATCCAAGCCCAGCCTACATAGTTATCACCTTAGCAGGACACTATCTCAGAATCTTAAAAAGGGCTTCAGAAGGGCAGGAGGTGTCTCACAGCTGGCGGTAGCCAATTCTGAGTGGACCCAGGGTCCCTGGATGGCTGCAGAGGCCCAGGCAGGGCCCCGCTAAGGATCACAAGGCTTCAAAGTCGGGCTTTCTCTGTCTGATAGGACCTGGGCCACCTGTGACCCCACAACAGTGCCCACAGATTCCCCACTTGCCCCAGGCCCCAGGCAAGATCAGCCCCTTCTGTGTCCCTCTGAGGCCTGAGGCAGTGACAGGGAGAAAAGAAGCCCTGCCCCTGCTAGCTGGTGAGCTGCGTGCATGGCCCTGCATGCTGTGAAAGTGTGGAACCTTTAGCGGGTCCCAGGTTCACAGGAAGCCTGTGAAGCAGGAGAACTAGGCAGTGGATGGGGCGAGGCCCTGAGCTGGGTGCCTGGCTTCCGACCCTGCAGGCCTAGTAGCTTGAAAGCAGTCAGGACAGCCGCATGGCAGCAGCCTGCATTTCAGGGTGACTTAGCGTCTGCTAGAATCTGCGTGCACTGGGTTACGATTGGTCGGCCCAGGGGACTTCACAAGGCAGGGCTGCTTTCTCCAGTCACGAGAGGTCTGGGTGATAGTCAAGGAACAGGGACTGGTCCTAGCCGCTGCTTCTCGGAGGCAGCCTGTGGTCACGTGGGCCATGGGTTCCGGGCGCACGTGGAGGGTGCCGGCCCCCACCACGCCCCTCCGCTCACTGCTCGCCCCCTGCAGGTGCACGATTATCTGCGTAGCAAGCTCTGCTCCCTCTACGAGAACGACTGCATCTTCGACAAGTTTGAGTGCGCCTGGAACGGCAGCGACAGGTGAGCCCCTCTGCCTGCGTGGCGGGCAGGGACCCCCAGTGCTAATTCCAGGGGCTAGAAATGCACCTTTCCTCACTTTCTTTACCCGATCCTGACAGCCACTGGGAGCCCATCCTGGGGCAGTCAGGGATGTAGGTAGGTAGCCCAGGTCCCCTGCCATGTGGCCTTGCTCCCTGAGTCCTCAGTGTGGGCCGCACCTAGCTCCTCAGTCTCCTGAAGGCAGGGAACAGTCCACACCTGTTTCCATCCCAGGTCCACACCACGTGCCTGAGATAGCCTCATCCACCCATCTCCCCTGCTGGTGTCACTGTCTGGGCCGTGGCTTGGTGGCAGCCCTGTGAGGTCCTCTGGGGCTCGGGGCATTGCAGCAGGGGTACCTGCTCTGGCTGACCAGGATGCACATGCCCATCTTCCCTCCCAGCCTTGCTCCTGAGAGCCTCACTCCCAAGGGCCTGTGTGGCCACAGCCCACCTGGGCTGATGTGGACGGGGATAGCTCCTAGCAGGGCTGCTGTGACTGCCTGCAGGTACTCTCCTCCCTGCATCCTAGGACCCAGGATTCTCCCAAGGCAGGAAACTCCTCCTCGATCCATATGATATTCCATAGCACCGAGCTTCTGCTTGGGTTTCAAGCTCAGACTTGGGGGTGAAAGCCATTTCCCTGGTCTGCAGAGCCAGGAGAGGGTCTGCCAGAGACAGGGAAAGCAGAGGTAAGATCCAAGTGGCCACTGGGTCAGAAAACTGCCGAGGTCCTGCCGGTGGATGGTGAGGCTGTGGACCCGGAGGCGCTGCCATGCCGTGACCTCTGTGGCCTTGGGTCTGGGGCTGTGGTGTAGGGGAGTTGGGGACAGGGACAGGACCAGAACAGTCTCCAGACAGAGCGGGACTCACTCATATGAACTACCATGGTGGCCACAGGGCTCCTCTAAGGGGCACTTAGGTGCCCAGCATTGAACTCCAGCCCCAGTCTGAGTGGCCCCTGGGCACCCTCTCCTGCCTGCACTTGGGCCCAGGGCCCCTCAGGGTCTCCCAAGCTTTTGCCCTGTGTGTTTGGGGCTCCACTGTGAATGCTGGGACATGGTCATGGGGTCCTGTGAGAACCACAGGCGAGGGTAGGGTGGGGGGATGGGGGTAGGTGCACCCTGCCGTAAGAAGACTCCTCCATCCCAGGGGTTAACAGGACCCCTTGGTCCCTTGGGCTGCCGCCAGAGGGCGCCTGTGCCCGAGTGAGTCTGAGTCCTCCCACCTGGGTGGTGGTCTAGGGAAGGCTGCTCTCATCTATCTCAGGCTGAGTCTATGTGACCTGCCGCACCATCCAGGTCACAGGGCCACGTCGGCAGTGTGCGCTGGCCGGCCTCCATCTCCCAGTCATCTGTCCTAGCGACCTGCCCCCCCCAGCCCAGCTCCCATGTGCCCTCCTCTGTGGTCAGCCCAGTGTGGAAGGAAGGGATGTAGGCCCACCTGGTGACTCCGATCGCAGGGACCCTTGCTCTAAGAAGCCCCACAGGGCTCCCTGGGGCTGGTTGGCTTGTCCCTGCCTGCCCCTCTCTGCTTCGCCTTTCACACTACCTCACCCTCTTCTCTTCTGCTGCAAGTTGCTTCCCCCTCCTGCAGGACAACAGCCCTAAGGAGTCCCCTGCCTGTTATCCTCGGGGCTCTGGTGGTACTCAATTCTTATGGAAGGATCTGATTGGCTTTGTTGGGTCACAGGCTCACTTTGGAGCCATGAACATGAACATCACAGGGGTGGGGAGAGCATGCTGATTGGCAGTCCACACGGAGGGAGGGCTGGGCCAGGAGCCCTTCCTCCAGGGAGCTGGCCCCTGCCAACAGGACCTCTGCTCTGCTGACCCCCACGGGTCCGTCTCACATTGTGTCATCAGGACACCTGGCTACAGGCAAGCGCAGAGGACCCAAGGGTCTTTGGGAGGCCATGCCAGAGGCAGGGTGGGGCCATGGTGTCTCCCCACACAGGCTGACTAGCTGCCCAGCCACCTAGGGGGCCCCAGGCAGAGAAATCCCAACAAGCCCGCCTCTGCAGCCCCTGTTCCCACACTGCCCCGGGGGACCTGAGCCACCAGAGCCCTTGCCCGGGCTGTCCTCCATCCCAGGTCCTGCTGCACAGAACAGGGATGCTTACACTTCCAGTCATCACCGAAGTGCCTGGTTTAGGAGGGAGCTAGGAGTGGGCCTGTGAAGACGACCCCATGACTATGATTGTTGGCCTGGGATCCTCAGAGCCCTGCCTTGTCTCTGTGTTTGGGGCAGAGCCTTCAAGAGGCCTTAGTTCGTGTGGCCCCAGAGTCTGAGTAGCAGTGGCAGCCGTGACCTGGGCTCTTCTCTCTCCTGTTCACTGACGCCTGTCCCTCTCCCCACCAGCGTCATCATGACCGGGGCTTACAACAACTTCTTCCGCATGTTCGACCGCAACAGCAAGCGGGATGTGACCCTGGAGGCCTCGCGCGAGAGCAGCAAGCCCAGGGCCGTGCTCAAGCCGCGGCGTGTGTGCATGGGCGGCAAGCGGCGGCGTGATGACATCAGCGTGGACAGCTTGGACTTCACCAAGAAGATCTTGCACACGGCCTGGCACCCAGCTGAAAATATCATCGCCATCGCTGCCACCAACAACCTCTACATCTTCCAGGACAAGGTCAACTCTGACATGCACTAGGGCCCCGGCAGCTGGACCTTGACCGGTCGTCCCCAACTCAGCGTGCACAGCCGCAACACAGGAGGTGGTTGTCATGGGCACGCAGGTGCCCTCTTGCCAGCTTCCCTGGGTTCAACTCACCTTGGACATCTGTGATGTTTCAAAAGGGAGGAAGGGTCAGCAGGCGTAGGTCATCAAGCAGCCAAGACTCCCGTCTTTGCAGTTCAGGGTTCTTTTCACTCAATCTGCCCCGGCTTGGGCTGTGGACTTTACCACATTATTAATTTTCCACCTGGCCGATTCCTTTTAGAGGAAGCTGGAGTTGGTCCTGATGGGGGCTCCAGGACAGAGACTGTAGCTCAGGAGGGCCAGCTGGGGGCCTGGACGTAAGGGGTAGGCTGCCCGGCCTTGGGCTGGTCCCGCCTCGGTATTCTGGGGGAGGGAGTTGAAACTGAGAATTTGAAGATGTCCCACACCCGGGCAGGTTCCCAAGAGGAAGGTGGGGCCCCCGTGGTGCCTGTCCCCTTGCCTCCATGTCCCCATCGCTGAACCGCTGTGGCACGCCAGGCAGGTGCATCGATCTGAGCCCTGCAGCCTAGCTCAGGGCAGCTTCGTCATCATTGTTGTCCAGGGACGCTGGCTCCCACCTGTGACTGTCACATGGATGTCTGTTCATGTTCCCTAAACACCAGCTGTCCCTGGGTGCAGGCCCTGCATTAGGGACAGGCCTAGAGGGTGAAGAATCATTGTCCCCTTCACCCTTGAGAGGAAACTAAGGCTGTGGGTGGAGACGCAGCTGCCCAAGGCAGGCACAGGGCTGGTCGCAATCTGGGGTGCTGTCGCCCTCCACGCAGGCGCCAGTAGCTCACAGAAACCCAAGGCGGAAGGGCAGCATCTCTTCAGTTGGGAAGTAGGACAGAGCAGTGTCTTGATGGCAAGGGATGACAGTGGGAGGGTGGAGGAGCACGCTGTGTTTGGTGACGTTGGGAGTCCCCCTCCAGGACTGTCACCCCAGGTGGGTGGCTGCAGCTCCTTTTCCAGCCGTGCGGAGCTGCCTCTGAGAGGAAATGCATGTTGTGACCCTTTTAGGAAGTTTTCTTTGGGGACAACACACTCATTTGGGGGACCCTCCCCATACCCGACAGGGAGGGCCACAGTGGATGTGGTCTCCACAGTGGATCCTGCTTGGTGACACTGGACTCTGCCCTGTATCGTCTGGCCTGAGGGATGGCAGCAGAGCCAGGCGGTGTGGGCCTGGCTCCGAGAGCAGAGTGCAGGCAGGGCCGGGCCGGGCCAACATTCTGTCTTCACTTCCTACACCGTGAACCAGCACGTGGGAAGCTGCTGCCTGCGGTGTCCTCAGTGGGCTCCCGTGGACATGTGTGTGTGTGTGTAAAGCACAAAGCGCATGTGCACTCACTCCTGGCCACATCGTATCCACACACCAATGATCCATTGAGTTTTTCTTTTTAATCAACATGAATGAAGAATGTCTGTTTATAATAGCACTGTAAAATCCAGGTGACCTGGACAGTATGATATGTATATATCTACCTTAATTAAATTTAACAATCACAAGATGGGGTGACTTTATCCCCCCTTGTAAAGACTCTTGAGGATGTGGGAAATTGTACAGAAATCTTGCTGAAGCCAAAACCCAGCTTTGAGGGCCTGATGCACTTGCTGGGGTTTCGGCATCTGCCGTCTCCCTTTGTGATTCTGATGTTGAGAGGAAACTTGAGTTTGAAGGGAGAAGTTCCTCGAATCTTAGGTTTAACATTCACCGTCTTCAAAGTATGGATCCTACAGTCTTTGAAAGGAAATCTTAACACAGTTCCTGCTTCCTCACCTCAGTTTTAAACTTTAAACTTTTAAACTTTAAAAAGGGGTGGGGAGCCAAAGAAAGCCAGCAGAGATCTCAGAAGAAAAGTGTGTCTTGTCCCTGGAAGACACCTGCGCCCAGAGGCAGCGGTGAGTTATGAGATGGGGGCGAGGAAGAGATGTTCGTGGGGAGAGGCAGAGCTACGAATGCGGGGGACCCTTCAGCAGCCCCAGGTTCGCATCCTCCCCGGCCTCATCCTTCAGTCTTCTTAGGGGCCACCTTGGGGCTGGCTGAGGTTTTATTTCTTCTCCTTGGGCTGTTCTCTGGGGGAGCCCTAGGCGGGTAGGGAAGTGGGCCAGCTGGCCTGAGGGTTTGGACTCTAACTCCTAGGTGCATTCTTTTTTCTTGGGTGTCTCACAGATTATCCAACTGTTGAATAAAATTATAAATATGTTAATACCAGCTTTTTCCAATAAAATAACAAATGTTACATCTACCCGGAGGCCCAGAATGCTGTTTCAGGAGGCCAAGCCCAGGGAGGCCGAGGCTGTCATCAAGATGCAGAATGGGGCATGGGTCACAGCCGAGCGGGCTCTGTGGGGGGACCCGGTTCCCATGGGGACCGCTGCCTCCCAGCCTCAGGATCCTGCGGGGACCTCTCTCCCTGTGAAGAAAAGTCAGGGCACAGCACTGGTGCAGGAAGCCAGGAAGGGCTGTGCACTCCTGGGCCTGTGGCCTACTCAGGCCTCAGCTCTGAGTCGAAGGCAGCTACACTCAGTGGTCCCAGGACAGCAGGAGGGTGAAGGTGCTTGCAGGCCCTATGACCTCTGGCACCCAGCTAAGCTCTGACCAGCACATGCAAACAGTGCGAGACTCCTCGGTGCCACCCTGTGGCTAAGGCAACCCGTTCCGTCGCACTGGGTGGAACACGACCAATGCTTGACGGTGCTGACCTCCTGAGGCGTTACAAGATCCTCTTTGCAGGGCAAGAGGGCAGTGCTCCTGTGACCCCCGTTGTACAGGTGGAGAAACTGCCAGCCAAGAGAGGGAAGTCATTTAGGCCTAACCCCAAGGAACTAGGAAGTGGTGGCATCAGGTTTAAAACCGCAATGGTGATAGAACCTGCAAATGGCAGGGGCTTGGGACTGTGACAGTGTGGCTCCAGCTCCCCAAAATCCAGCTGCAGCCACCGCCGATGCACTCTGAGCTGATATATGCTCAAGTGGGGACTGGACCTTGGGATGGGGGCTTAGCCCGGATCATCCGGGCAGGCCCTGTCTGACCCCTCGACTCTGCAGAGTGAAGCATACCTGCCTGTGTTCAGAGAGAGCTGTCACATCACAGGACCAGAGGTGTGACATGCAGGCCCTCACAGCCGTCGCTGGCGCTGAAGACTGGGGGCCTCCGGGGCAAGCCAGGAAGCAGATTCTCATGAGAGCCCCCAGAAAACCCGGCCCTGCTGCCCTTGACCTTGGCCCACGGAGGCCTGCGCCGTCCTGTGACTGCTGGGCTGGATGAGAATAAATGTGTGTTCTTTCTAGCCACGGAGTTCGTAGTCCTTTGTCACAGCAGCCCCAGGGACCAATATCCCCAGGCGTGTTCACTGTGATCCCATAGCAGCCCCTGTCGGAGAGGCTTCCTGCCCTCGGTTACAGGCCAGGGTGCCCAGAGCCACCCAAGTACTTGCGCGAGTCTCACAGCACACAAGCTTGTGTGGCAGCGAGGCTGGGATGTGGTTTCCTGAGGGTGGCGAGGACGCGACACTACCAGGGTGCTCCTGGTGGTGGGGCTGCAGGAGGCAGGGAAGCAGGCACGGGGGTGACTGGGCTTCTGGATGGCCAGGTGCTCAGGGCCCGCACTGTGCCCAGCCCTGCGTGCCAGCCAGCTGGACAGGCCAGAGAGGGTGCAGGCGGCTGCTGGAAGCGCTGTGCAAGTCTGGACTCCCTCCTTGCTGTCATGCTGACAGATCACCTTGAACCTGCAGAAAAGAGGGCTTGAGGAGGCAGCACCAGCCGAGGCTGCAGGCTGGAAGCTCCCTGCGGAGCCGCTGGTGTGAGGCCACCTTGCAAGGCTGGAGAGACTGGAGTCTGGTGTCCACAGGTGACTGCAGCAAAAGACCCCGGGCTTTGCTCTAGTGAAGCTCTTTAACTGCAGGCCAACTTCCTCCCCTTTCCTTCAGGGCCCAGCAAACCCCGTGGATGGAGCCACCCACATCTGGGCGGGCCTTCCCCCTCCATTTGCTGGCCCACATGCCAATCATCTCTGGAACCACCCACAGACCCACCCAGACGTGTGCTTTGCTAACCAAGGTGTATCTTAAACCAGAAAACTGGCATCATGATTAACAGTCACAGCCTGAGAAACAGAACCGAGGCCATAATTCCAGGGCCCTGACACACACTGGCGGCCCTGGGTGACCTGCTCTTCTGCATGTCCCAGCACAGCATGTCACTATTGGTATGACAAGAGGATCCTCTGAGCCCTGCGCGGCCAGGAGCACCGCAAGTGTGGCTCATTCACCAGCGCGGTCACCTAGACATGGGTGCTCTAATTCTGCCCATGTCACACACAGGAGGA